TCCTGCAGCCTAGGCCTTGCGGCAGTCTCGCCTCCACACTAGATGCCTGTCCTGTCCCTTTTGATATGTGCTCGGTGTGTCTCATAATTATTGCCCCGTGGCCATAGGGTCTCCCTATTCCTTTTTTCCAGAAACAGTCATTCTGTAATACAGTGAATGCTGTAAAATTAACGTCTTTTTTCTTGATGGTCAATTTGTGAGGAATGCACCTGCAGGGGTACCTCCTTGTTTGAAAGTCATGCTTTAAAAATAATTAAAAGACAGGAAGAGATGGAGTATTATGGCCCATAAAGAAAACCTTGAATGTCTTCTGTATTAAGGTGAAGTTTTTCTTTTTTAAGAGACTGCTCTTTAACCCACATAGAAGTACCTCGTGTTTCCTGGGTTTATAGTTTTCATTGTCATCTCATATATTTATTTTTCTCTAATGCATCTTGTACTTTCCCTTGAAGGACTTTAACTTTCATTCAATCATAATCTCTCTTGTTGCACCAGAGTTGAAAATATTTGTTTCTTACCTAAAACATAAATTTAAAAATAAAACAACATAAATTCTTGGCCGTGGTTTTGACTCAGTGGTTCTGCCGCCTGTCTCGCAAGCGCAAGGACCCGAGTTCGATCCCGGGTACCCCTCCCCCAAAACCCATAAATTCTTGATTGATTTAGACTAGTATAGTAAAAGTACGCGTTGGGCATCGTGCAGCTCCTAAGTTGTGTAAATTTGATAAGGCTGTAAAAAAATTCATTATCTTGGGCGCATTTGTAATACTTTGAAATGTGAATGTGTGACATTTCTTTTCCAAATACCTGGACATCGTTAGTACCTTTTAGGTTTATTTTATAGCAGTAAAGACTGATTTTTTTTTTTTCCATAAAAGACTTGTCTTGTTAAGTAATTACAAGGTGATCTAACTTTGGATATGCTTATAGGCCCATGGGACGTGCATGTGCACAGTGATTTGGCAAAGGACCTAGGTTAGTGCTTGTGATGATCACTTCAGATTTTCATAATACTGCCTCCTTTAAAAGCTTGGTTTATTTATTTACCTTATTTTGTTTTGTTTTTTTTGGTAGATGAAAATGAAGTTGAAAGGCCAGAAGAAGAAAACACCAGGTTAGTGAAATTTCTTTTTTCCCCCCAGGTTTAGGTTAGTGCAGTTTTTACACTTGATCTTAGCCAAAAGGCCAAGAAGCGATAGGTTTGTGAAATTTCTATTGATGGCTTATACAACTCGTGTGATGCAGTGGTTCTGTTAACAATTTGTTAAAATTATTTCATAATTATTGGCTTGGCCATAACATTTTCAGTAAATGTTGGAGGACATTGTATCCTTTAAGTTTATTTCTATTTTAGGACCTAATTTCATATCTGTTCTGTCTTGCTAGTATCTTAAAGACAGTTTTTGATGTTAGGGTTTGACTGCTTTTCATTATTGAGTAACTTTTTACTCTTTGAGCCTCAGTAGTGGAGTGTACAATATAATCATCAAATGACTAAGGAAAGTATAGTAAAAAAGGAACCCTGAAAAATAACTGCTTTTTTTTTTTAGAATTTATTAATAGTTTTGATGGTATAATGTACTTTGATTTTAATATCAGTAGTTTATATTTACTTAAAGTAGAACTGATTTTTTGTGTATGTGCTGGGGATGGAACTCAGGACCTTGTCTTGCAAGGCAAGCAGTGGAATCACTGAGCTAAATCCCTGGCCCAGAATTAATTTTTGTAAGATTTCCTTCATTTAGTAGAAAGGTACAGGTTTCATTTACAGAATATATACATGGTCCCAGAAATTTGCTGTAAATTTCATAACAACTCATGCATAGAAGTATGTGGCTATGCTGACTTTACTCTGACCATATAGCTTTTTAGTGTGCAAAATAATGAATGGAGGAATAAAGAGCATTTAAGGAATATTTGGATTTAAAACATGAGGGAGATACCACTTCATGCCTAGTGGGATCTGTGTAATCAAAAAGAAAAAATGTTGATGAGAATACGGAGAAAGTGAAACCCTTCATGTTGGCAGGATTGTAAAAAGGTGCCACTGCTTTGGACAGTTGTCTGGTAGTTTTCTCAATTAATGAGGCCATATGACCCAACAATTTTATCTGTAGGCATATACCTTGCAAAGATGAAAATAGACATCCATATGTATTTACATGAATGTTCATAGCATTATTCATAATAGTTAAAAAATGGAAACAATCCAAGTGTTCATTAACTAATGAACAAATAGATTAAATGTGATATACCCATACATTGGAATACTGTTGTGAAAAGAGATGAAGTACTGATAAGTGTTACAACATGGATGAACTTTGGAAACATACTAACAGTGCCAGTTAGGAAGGACAACATCTTGTATGACTTCACTTATGTGAAATGTCTAGAATAAGCAAATTCACAGAGGCAAGATTAGTGTTTGGGGCAGGGGAAAAATTGCAGTGACTGCTGATATAATACAAGATATCTTTTGTGATCTATGGGCATGGTTTGGAATTAGATAGTTATAGTGGTTGCATTGTACGAACATGCTAAAATTCACTTTTACCTTTTAAATGCATGGATGAAAATTATATCTCAATAAAGCTGTTATAATGAAAAAATGGCAAGAGTGATAAAATGAAAAGAGGAAGCAGAACTTAGGAAGAAGAGCTAAAAAATATATTTTCTTCATTCCTATATTATCTGAAATTGTTTGAGATTTACGTGTTTTACTCAGTGCCTAATCCTGATATCAACCACAAATTGGAGGTTTGTGTAGTCCATAGTTATGGAAGTGATTAAATTCTCACCATAACCATTTCTTTAGTTGGTCAAGAAACTAGCTGATTACAATGTGTAGAGTTAAAATCAAATGTATATTTTTTTTATGATGCAGTCTTTATTTCATTGATTTTTATTCTTACCTGCAATTTTTTTTTTTGCGGTACTTACTAGGTATTAGGGATTTGAACTCAGTGCTTGAGAGGCAGGTGTGGTGCCACCCTTACCTATAATTCTTAAGACTTGCTTTCTTAGTGAACTTTCTTTAATTCTCTAGTACACAGCATAATAAAGTGTATTGTAAAGAAATCATCTTTGTCTTTCCCTGAGTGTTATTGTCAAAACTTCTTTATATTTCTTACTAAAGCTTAGGTTTATTCCATGAGGAAAAAAATTATCTTTAAAATACTGTTTTTCTAGAAAAACTTTATAATTTTATCAAATTTCTAACATAGTAATGTGATAGAGAATTAAAACTTGTAGAAGAGTTGGTCTATGAGGAAAAGAAATTTTGCCAAACCTAGTATCTAGCTTGGTATTATCATTGGTAATGGAAATTGTCCCAGCTTCTTTTTCAGTGGTTTGTTACTGAACACTCTGTCCTTAACATTGCAATATACTCTGTCATGTTTTGTCTGTTTAAATTTTAGTAAAGGTAGGATACTATTTTGTGACATGAAAGCAAGTGAGAGTTCAGTACACATAAACCAAACCAAAAATTCAAGTGGAACTTTTATCTGGTTATCTAGAAGTTTATTGAAATAGGAAGTAGATGTGCTGGAAGGTTAGATACTTGTCTCCTTGAGCCAAGCCTTAGAATAAGGAAAATCTAACAGTTAAAATTTTGGTTTCCATCTTTCATAAGGTCTGGTGTTCTAAATTGCTATTATAGAGATTAAATTTATTTAATTTATTAAATTCAGAAAAAGTGGTTTAGAAGAGATTAGAAGTCTAATGAAGAGTTCTAACCTATGGCAATAGCTGGACATCTTTCTTAGAAGTACTTCTAAGTTTTTCTGAAACATGGGCCAAACAAATTTGTTGCTGGGTACATCAGTTTTCCTTTTTGTAAAATGAGCTATTCACTAATTCCCTTTGTCAAAATTAAAATTATTAAAGATATAAGAATCTAGTTATGGTTCTAGAAGTGTTGTTGGTTAACTTCGACCTTGAATCTTATGGCAATGTAGTTTACTGTTACACAATATGTAATTTTTTGTTGTGAAAGGATAAATTCACCAGAATTGTTTTAAAATTCATCAAAATTTAAAAACTAATATTCATCATAAATATGCCCCTAACTCCTAAGTAGTATAAATTCAAGGACCTTCTTGCATGAAGATAACATTTTTTGTTTAGATCTTAAAATTTTATTTTAATAAGACTGATGAAATAAGAAACCAAGCAGAAGTATATATGTTAACTGAGTATTAAAAGAGCTAATGTTGGGGCCAGGGATTTAGCTCATTGTTTCCACTGCCTGCTTCACAAGCGCAAGATCCCGAGTTCAATCCCTGGTACCACAAAACAAAACAAAACAAAACAAAAACAAAATAACAACAAAAAAAGAGCTAATGTGATCATATCACAGATGTGAATTTCATGAAAGTCAAAGCACTTGGCAGGTGCGGTAGAACCTGGCACACAGTACACATTTGTAAAAATTTAGGATTAAAATTAGGTGTGTTGAATACTTTTTAAATGATATTTTAATAGTTTTAGAATTATATCCCACTATCAAATTGTAAGTCATTCACAAATTATAGTAGCATTTCCTTTCTACTTCTAATGTACTTTTTATTTTCTTTGCTGTCCTGGGGATTGGAACCAGGGCCTCACATGTGCTAGTCAAATGCTCTACATCCTAGTCCTTACTTCTAATGTTAAGTACTTATTTTATGCAAGATACTAGCAATTACAGGAAGAAAGGCAACATTTTTCCCTTCTTTGTTCTTGCCATCCAGTGGAGACAATATCTTTAGAAAAGCTTAACAGTAATAGGTTAAAAATAGTAGTATAATCTTTGTGTACTTTCAAAAGCATTGCCTGACATAGGTATTTTCTGTTGTTTGTAGTGCTAATCCTCCATCTGGAATTGAAGATGAAACTGCTGAAAATGGCGTACCAAAACCGGTAATATAAGCATAAACCTTTGAAATCCAGTTAATTTCCTATTTAAAGCCTTTACCAATAACTTTGTAGTTTGCTTAAAAATAAAGTCACCATTTACCATAGACTCCAGTATTCTGTGTGATCTGGCCTCTTACATCTTCTTCATTTGGAACGATCAAAAGCATTGATAGGACTTAAGAGGAGAACCAATAGTGGGAAGAGACTACAAAAAACTGTAATTCACAAAGGCCTGATGTGCTTTCTAAGAACTGAGTAGTCAAAGATTTACTGACTAGATAGATCATAGTGAACTTGATTTTCAAAGCAAACATTGAATCCTGAAACCTAAGTTTGAAGTTACAGTTTTTTAGCAATTTTTTTTTTTGTATGTGTGAATTCTCCCTAACTTCATGCCTATTAATAAACTGGATATTTTGGAAGCCTATGAATATTTGTACATTTTAATCTTACAGAAGGAATTTTATTTATAATATCCTTATTTACTATACATTATTAAGTATATATAGTAATAGCCTTTTAGAGTCATAACAAAAAATTCATAAATCGCCCCACTTTAAAGATGCAAGTTATTTCCTCAATGATTTGCTTGCACAGGCTCTTCCAGATGTAAATGAATGCTAAGAGTAAGCAAGATGTTCCATTACTGTGTGGTACTTTTAAACCTTGATACTGTGAGTCTTATACTTGTTGTCCTCTTTATTTATATACTTTGCCAAGAATTTCTCAAATAATTTTTTTAGAACTTTATCTGGTGGATATCTTACTACATTGCTTTACATCCTTTTTTCAAGAGAGGCAGTTATAAATGATAAAATTTTGTCATGTAGAACATTAAAGTTGCAAATGAATTGAAATACTGTAGGTAGCTGCTTTACGAACGTGTAATTTTTTTCTGTAAAACTATCTCAAAAATAGAGGATGGTTTTCAGTGTTTAAATGTTGAAATGGATTATTGAATGTATTTTAAAATTGTTTATGTTGATGTAGAAAGTGACTGAGACTGAAGATGATAGTGATAGTGACAGTGATGATGATGAGGATGATGTCCATGTCACTATAGGAGACATTAAAACGGGAGCACCACAGTATGGGTAAGTCACTTTTAATTAACATGTCTTTGAAAACTACATAGTAAATGTATCGTGTCTATATCAGATTGTCAGTCCATTGTGTTTACATTTTTTACCTCAGTGTGATACAAAAGACTTACTAAAATTTCACAGCAAAGATAATTTTTTCCTAGACATACTGTTAGTTAATTAGGGAGGTATATGGAAGCAGCAGTTTTTGATTTGTGCATTTAAAATATTTTTAAAGAATTAAATGTTTCAAATTCTGTGGTTAGAATTGCAAAACCTTAAATTATATTTGCATTTATTATTCTTTCACCTTATTACTTATTCAAACCTTTAGGTTCTCAATTTTTTTCTTGGCCAGTAAAATAGTATCACATGTATTACTTTTGCCTTCATAATTTATTTTTCAAGTTATTAATTATTTGTTAGGCTTCTTAGGCCAGTGTACTAGCCTCAGGTTCCACAAACTGGACCAACTAAACAGATTGTCACTGTCTCATTGAGTGCATAAGAAATCATAAAAAGGAACTGTGTTAAAAGTGTTTATGTGTTGTGATTTTGTTATGGTGGTATAAATTTAGTCATTGTTTTTTGATTTTCAAATTGGCTCTGTGGCTGGGTGTGAAAGTGTACACATGTAATCCTAGCACTCAGGAGGCTAAGGCAGGAGAATTGTTGCAAGTTCAAGGTCAGCCTTGACAACATAGTGAATTCAAAGCCAGCTTGGATGAATAAAAAAACAAAGAATCCAATTGGCTCTATAATGTGGTTACTAAAATTTGTGCCTTGGATACATAAAATCATGGGATAATTTCATTAATTTCATTAAGCAGCCTTACCTGGAATCATTATACTATAAGTATACGTATCAGTATACGTAAATATTTTTAAATATTTTATTTCTTCAATAAAGCTACTTTTTTCCAAAGTTCTTTTTCAGGAAGATTGAAGGTATTCAGTTATTATAGTCAACTTTGGATTAAAATGACTATATAGTTTTTTTAAGCAGCTTTTTAGGAGGTAAAAACATTCAGTTACTTGTTAATGTGCTTTTTATCCCCATTTGGGAAAGTAAATAACTAGTGTTGAATTTTATAGTATTAATACTCACAGGTCTTTCTACTAGTAAGCCTTTATCATTTGCATTATAGTACTCATGGCATATTTAGTAGATTTTGTTGTATCAAGTTATTTAATTTGCAAATATAGGACTTTTTAAAGTAAAGCGTGGTTTTTCTTATATATCCCTTGAAAACTGAAAGAAAACTAGTGAGAAAAATGAAATTTGGTAAAATATTTATTTTGTGCCCAGTACTTTTAGAGCCTTTTTTATTTATTTTTGAGACAAAGTCTGTGTAGTTTAGTCTGGCCTTGAACTCACTATGTAGTGAAGACTGAGCCCAAACTCAACAGTGATCCTCCTACCTTAGCCTCCGAGTACTGGGATTTCAGGCTTACCCTACTGTGCCTGACTAGAGGCTAATTTAAAGAGCAAAATATGTTGAAAGAATACTAGTTATTGAAAGTTAGCGAAAGTAAAAACTAGCATTTTTTTTAGGAAATGTGCTTTTGTTCATTTTATACATCAGCAAGGCATAAAGAAAAGCAGATCAAAGTAGGAATAATTTGTTTTATACAGGGCAGTTTGTTTTCACTGAGGTTCTATCTAGTTTATACTTTTTTTCCTATTTTGTATTGTAATAAAATGCACCTTAAAGTTTTTAGTAAACATTTTAAGCACATAATTTGTCTGGTGTTGTTTAAAATAGAAACACAGTGTGCTAATACCAAACCTTAAGTGACTGATTCTTTTACTTTTGTATTTTTCCATCTTAATGATGATACAAAGAAACTCTATTAAAATTACACCATGGAAATGCTTTTCTTAATGATAAGTTTAACTAATTAGATAAGAGTTGCATGGAAGCACCAATGTTTGATTTTCAAATTTATTGATGATGGGATACAACAAAATGATAAAATAGTCCTTATTTTCCAGAAGTAGTAAGGAAAATAGGTAAGTGGGCAGTTTTAGTATAGCATAAGTGCTAGAAGTATATACAAAGTGACTTAAAAACTTTGATAGTTGTTAAAAGTCTACAATATTCTGTTGAATATCCCAGAGGTAACATTTGAACTTGCTTAAATAAGTCTTGAGACAGGCAGAGAAATGGTAAGTTTGGAGAAAGGGTTCTGCTTAAATAAATACTCATAGTTGAAGGATAATTTGGAGGGCCTAGTTTGTGTGAGGTAGATGAAAAGGCATGGGTGAAGTTAATTCAGTTAAAATGTTTTTATGTCATTGTGGAACTTAAAAGTTTTTTAGGCAGATTAGTTTATGTGGACAGATAAACTTAGTAGCAGTAGTTGGGATGGATTTGAGAGAAATTAGCTAATGGACTTATAGTTGTCCAGGTTAAGTGACAATCTAATCTAGTAGTTGTATAGGGCTGGATGGATAAGAAGTTGAATATGTAGGAGAGGAACAAGTTAAAATAGATTTAACACATTTAAATGTCAATTTAAATTGACACATTTATTATAAAGTTCTTTTACAAAACCCAAGTATGTTTGGCACTTAGTGGAGCCGGAGACATAGAGAATAGTGGTCTATTGGACAGTATATCAAATTGGCTTAAGGGTGATTTTTTGTACAGCAAAACTTCTCTTCAAAGAATATAAAGTCTTGGTGGCATTAAAAAAAATGCTGTTTTAAAGGGCAGAAGAGGAAATAAAAAGAAGCCAGTTAGGGTATAGGAAGAAAAGAAGCTTCTTTAGCAAACATTTAGACTTTTATAAAGTTTTTTTTTCTTGTAGCAGTCCTGTAAGAGGACAGTTTGAAGATTGTCCTTGATTTTTTTGTACAATAAACTTTCAAACTAGGATTTATTTTCGTCATACTATGCGTTGATATTTCTAAGCTGCTTTTGCTATGCTGAATTTGGTTTGTTGAAATGTAAGGATTATGAAAACAGGAAACATATTTATCTAGATTGTTTTCCCTCCTTCGTCTAGACCAGTGGCAGCAGACCTATGGCACATGTGTTACTTGTTTTTCTTTTAAGACAAAACATGTTAATGTCTGAGTTGTTTTTTCTAATTTAAACCTCAGTATTTAGGTTTAATTGTGGTTTTGGTGTTTTGTGATAAATAATGTGAGTTTTGAATTGCAGTTTGGGCGCTCGTCTCTAAAAGGTTTGCCATCACTGGTTTAGACCAATATAGGACATAATTTTCTTGCTCAATAGGCATTTATTAAATGAATCACTTTGCAAGTTGATAATGATAATATTGCTTGATGATAGTAACAGTTTAATAATTGCTTAATAGTTTTTTGCATTTATAGCAATGGAGCTACACTTATTTGTATACTTTATTACATTTTCCTTTTTACAAAAAGTAAGGCCAGGGATTTAGCTCAGGGGCACTTCTGCCTTGGCATTTGCAAGGTCCAGTATGGGGTGGGGGGTGGTAAAACACAAAAATGATGGTGAAAATGTAATTTAAGCCTGAGTCCCATACATTATTTAGTAAGTTGGAGATAGAAAGCACAAATCATTATTAGGCAGGCCAAAAGCAGTGAATCATTCTAAGTCCAGGTGGCTAAACTTGTGAGGGAAAAGAACCAAATTAAATAACATGCATAAATTGTGAGAACTATACCATTAACCATTTATCTATAACTTTGGGTCTTAGCTATACATTTGTTCACTATGAATCAATCATACCTTCTTCATCCAGTTCCTTCTCTCCTCTTCTCAACTAATTTCCTCAATAATATGTAAGCTTATTTATTTTAGTTAGTATGTTTGATTTTTCTGCTTATATGAGGATGCTTGAATGAAAGTAAGAAACTGTTATAGACAGTGACAGATGTTAAAATTGTTATAGACATCTTACAGAAAATGTACACAAAGCTGATGGAGTTTAAATTACTTGGCCAAGGTTACACAGCTAATAGCTGACAAAACTTAAATTTGAACATGAGTTTGTCAAACTTCATAATTTCTTCCTGTCACATGTTAGAGGGTACAACACAGTAATTTTTTCAAGAGTATACTTTCATGTAACCAAAATCTGATTTAAGATATGAAACATAACAAGCATTCTAGAAATTGCTCCCTTGTTACCTCAGTAATTGACCACCTACTGTTCTGGTTTTACCTCAGACTTATTTTTTAATTTCATATAAATGAGTTTATTTTTACTCCATGGGTAATTGATATTTTATCAAAAATATAAAATGTGGGAAGAACCAAAATGAGACCACTGAATTTTGTAACAAGGTAAAGAAATCACTCTTGCAGTATTGCTGTATGTTGAATAACTAGGAGGTAAGGAAATAGAGGTATGTAAATTACTCTTTCTCAGCTAGATTTCCTCAGAAGTTTGATACTGAATTAGTGGGGAGATTTTGTGAATCAGACTTTTTAATTGAGCAAATGATGGACTTGTTAAATTAGTTTAAAACATTTTCTGAAATGTGGGAGTGTCATTCTATCCATTTATAGCTATGTAGCCTGGTGTAGCTCCATCGCTAAAAATGAATGTGAGTAACACATTGTACATTTTACTGTTATATACTTTTATGTATCTTAGATAATTTTTATTTGTTTTAGGAGTTATGGTACAGCACCTGTGAATCTTAACATCAAGACAGGGGGAAGAGTTTATGGAACTACAGGTAAAATTTTTATTTGTAATTATATCAATAAGGAAAAAAGGCACATGTCTTGGATAGTTTATAAGTAGATTGTAATAGCTCTTTTAAAGAATAGTATTGAACCATATGTCACAGACATCAGCAAACTATATAAATGCCCAGAGAGTAAAAATTTTAAGCTATGCTGGCTACATAGTTCTTTATTATTCTTCATTCTTTATTACTGTTATTCTTGTTGGTGTTTGTTTTGTAACCCTTTAAGAGTTAGTCTTACTACACTCATGTGCTGTACAAAACACTGATTTACAACACAAAAGTTAATAATTTCTTATTGGTACAGTAATCCCCTATTTATAAGCAATAAGTCTCTAATCTTTCCATCCATTTTATCTTCTAGTTACACAGTAAAGTTTGTCTTAACCTACTTTTGGCTACGGTAAAAAGTAAACATACCCTTTTTTGAATCTTTGCCATTTATTGTGCCAAAAATTGTAAAACATGTTAATGTTTCTGTTGTACGTTCTAGTTGTTTCTTATGTAGCTCTTTTACCATTTTGTGTTTCTATACATTAGGAACCAAAGTCAAAGGTGTAGACCTTGATGCACCTGGAAGCATTAATGGAGTTCCACTCTTGGAGGTAGATTTGGATTCTTTTGAAGATAAACCATGGCGTAAACCTGGTAAGATTTTTGTGAATGTATTAATTTTAAATAACAATTTGTGTATCAGAAAAGTAATTCTGACCATCAATTTAGAATATTGATTTTTAGTGCTTGCTTCGGCAGCCCATATACTAGAATATTGTTCGTCTCATGTCTTTTTTTTTTTTTTTTCTTTTGCCTCAAACAATTGATGAGTACTAAGGACTTGTATGATGCAATCTTACTAGTGGCCTAACATTCCTTTGATTATAGACTTGGATAATGTTTATGTATTTTGATCAAAATATTTTGTAGTATTTTTCTTTTTTTGTTGTTTTTGTTTTGTTTTGGTACCAAAGATTAAACTCAGGACCTTGCATTCATGAGGCAGGCATAGTGCCACTGAACTAAATGTCTGGCCCTATAGTGTTTTTCTATTATGCTGGTTAATTTTGAGAAGTAGTAAAATTAGAAGGAATGGTGAGATTGATACAACTATAAAATTGTATTTTTATGGCTCATATTTTTGATGCTGCATAGAGTTGAAATATTTGTACATTAAAAGTATGTTTTACCTGTAGGTGCTGATCTTTCTGATTATTTTAATTATGGATTTAATGAAGACACTTGGAAAGCTTACTGTGAGAAACAAAAGAGGATACGAATGGGACTTGAAGTTATACCAGTTACTTCTACTACAAATAAAATTACGGTAATTAGTAAACATTCCAGAATTCCCCTGCTTTTTTTACTGTCCTATTTTTATGTCCCAAATAAGTCACTTCTCCCTGTAAAGGTGGTTAAATGCTGTGTTGTAGTTTAAAATTCTCATTGTCTTTACTATGTTTGTTTTCTCTTTCCTTTTAGAGTTTCACATTAATGATTATCTTATTTTCTTAGTTTCAAATCACAGACTAGCCATAGCTAGTTTGTCTTATATGGCCTATCAAGTAAAAATTGTGTGGTATCTTAATGGGGAATATGTTATTTAACTTAGGCCGAAGACTGTACTATGGAAGTTACACCAGGTGCAGAGATGCAAGATGGCAGATTCAATCTTTTTAAGGTGAATTTTAGTAAATTATCCTTGGTTGCTCTCATTTTTGTTCTTGAGTCTGCTCCCATACCACTATTCAAGGGACAAATTTAAAATGAATTATAGTTACCTTTCTTCCCAACCCTTCAGCTTCCTGGTGACTTACAAATTTGTGATTGTTGTTTTTTCTCCACTTTTGCAAGCATGTGTATTTATAGCCTATCATACTAACAAATGCCAATCAAAACTATTCTCTGTTATATGTTCAGATTGTATTTTATGTATAGTACATGTTTGCTTGTAGGATATAAAAGTCCATGGCAACAAATTAAGCTCTTCATTATGGGTCATATTCTGACCTTTATCGCACAATTGGAGGTTTATTTTTGCTAATTTTCTTTTTTAAAAAAATAGGATGGTGATATATTTGTTATCTATATGACATTGAAATCATTGCTATGATTTTTCTTATAATTTAAGGTATTTTCTATTATACAATCTCTTGAGAACTCAAAAAAATAGGATAAAGCCATTGATTTTTCAAATTAATATTTAAAAGGAGCAGGTTTATGTGAGGGATATGAAAGCTGATACTACCATTTGGGTATCAAGTCTCACAGACCCAGTCAAAAGAATAGTATTTTCATACTTGATATTTGAAACTTCGTTGGCTATTTGCTTTCTTTCTCTTAACATTTGATTCTTACATTGAATAACACTGGGAGCAGCCTTTAGGTTGGGTTATTTACTGAAGGAATTTCTGTGATCTGTGTATGGAACTCTGTGCCCATTGAGGGACTATAGCTTTGTCCACTGAAATAATGCCTTATGCAGTGCATGTGCTGTGTCTGAAGATATATAGCTGCTCTGCTGGACACAGTTCTGTACAGAGAATTTCATTTTAATTTACATTCTTCTATAGATATTTATTCTTGTCCTGTTGTAATGTTTTGATGCTGCTACTGCCGTATTACAAATGGTTATCAGGTTCTTTGTCTACTTGAGCATTAAATAGTTTTTTATTCTTGATTATAATGATTAATAATGAGTATTGGCAGTGGTACTTGTTTTTTAATACGGAAATGAGAACTGCCATTGTAAACTGTCAACTCCCTTATACTAACTATACTGTATGTGTTAGAGTAGACTTTTAAAATGGAGTAAAATAATGCTTTTGGTCTGGTCTCTCGTTGAAGGTAGCCATCATGAAAATATTTTATATATGTATGTATACTTCATATATATTATACACACACACACACACACACACACACACATTGAAAGTTTACTTTGAATTGTCTTTATTAGAGAGGTTATTGACTGTTCCATTATCATTAATTTGATTCTGAATAAGGACTTGATTTGTCTTTATAGTGTGTTTAAATAGTAATAATGTCAGAAATATTGATTTGGGAATAGGATGCATATTTAACAATGTGGATAACAAACTTTTTTTGTTATGTCTGTCCTGGTTTGTAGGAAATAGAGCAACGTTGAGAAAGACTAGCCAGCAAACATATATGTAGCCAGCAGGAAGCTGTTTTAGCAGTAGAAAGCATATAGTTCTGGTTTTTAGAAAATAAGTGGCAGTAGGATGGGTTTTAGAATGCAAAAGATACAAAGGGAGTCAGGTCAGATAGGGAGTTTTTGTGGTTCTGTAAAGAATGAAATGAACTAAAGCCTGAACTCAGTGGTGAATTGTGATTTCTTTTCATATCTTCTGCAAAGGTAATTTCCTCCTCAGTCAAGTAAGAGACAACCTGTCAACCTCTTTTTTCTGTTTCTTATCATGTAAATTTTCAAACATGGTAGTAAGTAGTGATGCTAGTACCAAGGAACCTCTAGGTTCTTATCATACATTGGTTATTAACATATTCACATTCCTAAGGTGAAGTATTTCCTTTGAAATACTTGCATGGTGGGGAGTTCTGTTTTTGTTTTTTGAGGTACTGGGGTTGCAACCCAGGACCTCACATATGATAAGTTTGAGTACTGTAACACTGAGCTATATTCCCAGACCTTTTGTGTTAGGGACTTGCTAATTACCCAGGCTAGCCTGTGATCCTCTGCCCCAGCATAGTTTGGATTACATGCATGAGTTACTATTCCTGACTAGGTTTTTTGTTGTTGTTTTTTGTTTTTAAAGTAAAATGAGATGAAGTTTTAAGATCTAAAAAATAGTCTATCGGGTATAGAAACAGTTGTATAATTACATAATTTGGGATAAGGGACAAGAAAGAAGTGACTTGGGAATGGGTAGCATTATAAGAAAAATTACAACATTTTCTTAAAACCCTTTTTTCTTTATATGTGCACCCATGTGTGCACATACACATTTTGTTCTTCTCTGGCAGGATATAGTATGAGTTTCGTTACTTGTGTTCTTAAATTTCACAATTACTATGTTTCTTGATCTGTTTTCATCCATTAAACTAAGCACTTCCTTGTGCTTTAATTTGGAAGCACATGTCCTTCACCTTTTTCTTGTTTTACTTTTTCTCTTCTGTTTTCTGTTGGAGATCTTACTCATACATTGACCCTCTTAGACTAGTCTTCTAATTGTCTTATATTTTCTTTTGGGGAATTTTTTTTTCAGCCTTTTAAACTTTTTATTCAGTTTTCCTTTTTTGCTATTATATTTTTAATATCCAAGAAATTTTTTATTATCTCACTGTAATGTCCTATCTTTTTGCAGCAATCAGTATCTTTTCTTCCTCATTTCTCAAAGGATGTCAGTTATAGGTTGTTTGTTTCTGTTAGGCTTTCCTTTCCTGTAGTCTGTTTTCTTCAAGTTGACTTTTTTTGTTTGTTATTCTTGGCTTTTGACTTGGACTTTTCTCAAATGTTTGTTGATTGTTGGCCATGAAATGCACTCATGTTAGAGTGGGCTACCAGAAACTCGAATGCAAGATCTGTGCACATGAATTGAATTTGTTGATTGAAGGTTTTTCAATAGTACCAAGCTTTTTACACCTGTTAGTATCCTTAAGGTTTTTTTTCACTTTTATTTTTTCCTTTTTGTGGTAATAATGATTTTTCAGAGACATTATTCCAGTAGCCTACCTAGAAAGTATATGCCTGGGTGTGATTCAAATGTTCTGGGAGCTGGAGCTGTCAGTTCCTGAAACTTTGGGGTCCCGCCATGATAATGAATATGCCTTTGCTTTCATTGTTGACTTAAGATTCCTTGTTTAATTTGCTCATTCACATACTATTTTTTTCATCAGCTTTGAAAGCCCTGAATTGTATTGTTCCCTTGATTTTTTTAGTATTACTACTTGAAATATAGTTGTAATGATTTAGTTATGGCTTTCTGCTTTTCCTTTTTTCATCTAACATTATTTGCTAAATGTTTTCTTTGTTAAACTTTTTGATAAATAATTTGAGTGGCATAATAGTTTGAGTACAACTTAATGAATTTCTTCTTTATTAGGTGTTGTTTTTATTTACACTTTTATGATTGATGCTGTGATGGGCAGCCAAAGATATTTCAAAACAATAATTCCAAAACTTGGGTACATTGGTAGCATAATTTGGTGAAATATTTAATTTCTCAAGGTTACAGATTTTAAGTTTTCTTTGTATTTGTGATATCCAAACAAATCACGTTACTGTTTTTAGAAAATTAGGTATAGTGTATTGCAGTCATTTTTTAGTCATAAATGTTAGGTCATATAAAATATTCTCTTATTGTGTACCAAGTTTTGAGAATTGTAATCCTGAGTGTAGTCTAAAGAAAAACAAGTAGTTAAGTAGTTAATAATACTTCAAATTAACTGGGATGGTTGCTAGAATGGTAAGGATTTTCAGAATTGTTCAAGGAGTATATTATGAAGAAACTAAGGATAGAAAAGAAGTTAGGAAGTGCAAGCAAGTTTTATATGTTTCAGAATCTGCCATCTTCCTATCTTCTCCTTTTCTCCTACTGTAGAATTTCTTCCATCTTACTGCATCTGTTCTTACATCTATCCCTTTTAAACTCACTCCAACTTCTTTTTCCCATCCTTTTCCTTTTCTTCCCATTTTCAATTGAGCATTGACTATACCAGGAAATGTATTATGCTTGAGTGGTGAGATGAGGTATACTTATTAGACACAGACTCCCTAGTCTTGCTGGTTATCTGTCTTAATGCGAAAGATAGGTATTAATTAAGTATCCATGCCAAATTATATAAACCCCGTGTCCTTTGAAGGACTTTGAAGAAGAAACATTTTAAGGTGAGTCCCACAGTTAATTAAATGACAAATATTTATTGAGTATTTATTGCATGCCAGATATTTTTTCTAGGTACTTGGGATGCAGATATTTATTATACATAGTTCATGTCTTCAGTGATCCTCCATTACAGTGGCAACAGACAGAAATCATGCAAAATGAGGTAATTTCAGGCAATACTAGTGTTAAATCCCATGAAAAAAAAAATTTAAGTGATAACATGATAAAGAGTGGGAATAGTGAGGAAAGGCCAATAATTTAAATGATGTAGTTGACCCCAAATATCTGCAAGGAATGCCCCTATGGATGCCTGAAACTGTGACAGTAATGCACCTTATACCTACTATTTTTTTCTTATATATACTTTTTTGTTTGAGGTAAGATTTCACTGTATAGTTTAGGCAGGTGTTGAACTTACTGCACTGTGTAGCCAAGGTAGCTTCAAATTTGTAGCGATTTCTCCTACCTCAACCTCCAGAGTGCTGTGCTGGCCACAGGCATATGCTACCACACCCAGGTATTGGTCTTCTATTTTTTGTTTTTCACTAAGATTTGTGTATTTCTGGCTATAATCTTAGAACATGTTAAGTAGTAGATAGTTAATAAATGGTTGGGGACTGAATTATGTTTACTTCCCCTGTCACCAGATTTTTTTTTTAAGTGTTTCTTGTGGACTGTCTGTTAAATCATTTAAGTCTTTCTCCATTTCCTTAGTGCTAATCCTTCATTAGGATCAGTACATTTTAAATGGCTTTTTAAAAATCAGTGAAACTCACTTTTGAATAAACTCAATGCTAAACCCTAATTATATGAAAGTGTCAATTAAAGATTGGGCTAGGCTCTAATTAATAAGAGATAAGACTACATTGCTTAAGTGGGCAAAAATTTTGTTTTCTCACGTAATGGTTAGTTGGGAGGGAGATGATCTGTGGAATCAATTTAGTGATTTGTCAAAGTATCTGAGATTCTCAGCCTTTCCTCAAGGGGAAAGCAAGTGACACTGAATTTAAATAAAACAGGGGCAATAAAATTTAAATAGGCCTAACATAAAGTATGATCTTATTTAAGTATAAGGCAACTTTAAATTTAATAATTTGATGATTTTAAGATAGGTGAACACAAACACCAATCTAGAGGAGCATGAGTAGACCACACTGAGAGGCTGTGATAGGAGCAGAGATGCTGGACAGCCTGGTTTGAAAGTTAATATAGAGAGGGACAAACAGACAAACTTTTTGTTTCTAGGTCTACTGAAGTGGCAGCAAGGTGGTACTGTTAATTAGGATGGGAATATGGGAGAAATGATATGAATGTATAGGTGTTGCACCAAATCACAGCCTAAATAGAATGGTTAAAATGGTCACCGATTGTGTGCTTAGATAAGGATAGTGAACACAGCAGGGGAAGATTCTTCATGGTCTTCTTAAACTCTGAAACATGGAGTCATAACCAAGTGTCTTAGACTTCTTTCTGTTGATCTGGAGGGATTTATAAAAGTCCCTAAAACTTAGAATGTATTGGACTTCTAAGTGACAAAGTGTAAACTACTTTTACTTTTTTATTATTTTGAGTTTTTAAGACAGGGTCTTGCTGTGTAGTCCAAGCTGCTCTTGAACTCACAGTTCTTTTTCCTTAGCCTCCCAAGTGCGGAGATTACATGCTTGTGCTGCCATGCCACCACGCCCAGCTGCAGAAGTGTGTTTGTTTTAATAATTGGGACATTTTGATCCCATAACCCATCTTTGGTGCCTTTTACCTGTTAATCTAACATAGGTTACTTTTAATAATTATTTAGCCATGAAACATTTTTTGTGTTTAACTTTAAATTAAATGTTACAAACCTAATAGCTAAAGGGCATTGTGTTTGAGTGCTGTAAATTTAAAAAACTAATAAACCAGTTTTTTGTGTGGTTTGTTTGTTTGTTTGTTTGTTTGCTTAGGTACAACAGGGGAGAACTGGAAATTCAGAGAAAGAAGCAGCCCTACCTTCTACAAAGGCTGAATTTACTTCTCCTCCATCTTTGTTCAAGACTGGACTTCCACCAAGCAGGTTAGACAGTTGTAACTCAATTACTCTAAGAGTTGGTATCTTTATATTTTTATAAAATCTCCCAGTTTTGTCAGCAAAAACTGGAACATTCCACTTTTATTTGAAATGAATTCTTTGAAAAACTGTTTAGAATGGTATTCCATCTTAATAAAAAAGCCGTGTTGAGCAAGAAATGAAGTATACTATATAGTTGTTAATGTGTGTGTATGAAGAAGTAGTTACCTTGTTTGCAGTTGAGGTGCTAACAATGATCTTGCTGTTTCCTGTGCATATTATTCTTTTTTCTTTTTTTGCTACTGGTGATCGAACTCAAGACCTTGTGCTTGCAAGGCAGGAGGGGGCACCACTGAACTAAATCCCCAACCCGCTGTACATATTATTCTTACAGAGTTATTGGACTTTCTAAGTCTAGAGCTATTGGGCTTTACAAGTATTTTGCTGATTCTAGTAAAAGGTGGCAGAAATTTCAACTTGGAAAATCTTTTAAATTGAAATCACTTTTCTCTGTTTAGTTTTAAATGATAACACTTAAATTTGTGTCTACAAAGTACTAGGTTTAAGAGGAATATATGCTGCAAAATATCCATTTTACTCAAATGTGACAAATAGTTACCCTTCTACCCCATTACAGGGAAAATGGCGAATGATAGTTAAGATTAGAGAAGGATATCAAGCAGTTTAATCTTGGGTCAAAGATAACTTAAATCTGAGCCTGAAACAAATCAACCCAACTGTTATTAGTTATCAACCATGTCACTTACTTCCTGTAGTACTTCTTTATTTATGTAATTTTCTGTTTTCGTTTTTCTATAATTTTTTGTTGTTGTAATGGGTTATACTTCATAATATACTAGTGCAGGAAAAAAACCTCATGGGAGTATTTTGTTTAGCCCTAAGATAAAGGTTTGTGGACCTTTTAACCATAATTAAATGTCAGAAAGCAGTTCAAGATTTGTAGGGATTGTCATAAACATACACTAATTATTTAAACTAAATTCAATCTCATAAAATGTTTGAAGAATTTGTAATAGTTAAGGAATATTGATAATTTTAATATATAGTATTTTGGCTTAATTTTTTTTTTTAAGGTCAACTTTGATTTCATTGAGTTTATGGTATTCTGCAGTATACTCTGGTATTGAGAACCCTGGAATTAGACTTCTAGGATTCAGAATCTGGCTTTGTAATTTATTAGTTGTATGTCCTGGGGCAAATTCCTTAATCTTGCTAAATTAGGATTTTCTAAACTATGAAATGTAGTAATAGTGTTTCTCTCCCACTGTAGTTATGTATTTTAAATGAATTAATTGTATAAAGTGTTTCATAACAGTGTTTGATGATTGAAGATATCCTAGATGTTTACTGTTCTAATTAAACTACTTAAAAATAAGCACCTGTTTTTCTGTACCTTTTTATTTTTTTTGCAGTTTTTTTTTTATTGAGTTTGTTGGTACAATCTAGGTATACAGTACAGTTACATTCATCATTGGGATTCTGTACCTTTACATAATAGTTCTTGATTGTCATTTTTTCCCCTTGTCCCTGCCCTCCCTTCACCCCCTCCTCCCCTCCCCATTTACAAACACTTTATTTCCATTTTTTCAGTTTTTCATATTTTTTTCCTCTCCCTCATTACCTTTCCCTCACCCTTCCCACTTTCCCTACACCTTTAGCCCTTTACTTCCTATTTCACATTATTAATTATCTCATTAGGATCCTGTGTACTATTGTAGTTTTTCACACCAAAGAAACTATTTGGTGTTTCAGTTAAAGAAATCTCTGTATGAACATTAAAAATAGGGAATCCTAAAATAAAACTAAAAAGGAAAGTAAAAGAGAAAAGGCGATGATGTAACATTAAAATAATCCTTAATTCTGGAGATGAATATGGTCCCTGAACATATTTAAATTGCTTCTTGCTCTTGTAGTCTTACCTTATTCTTTTTTTTTTCATTTAGAGAATACTTTATTAGTTTCTGTAATCAAACCCACGTAGATATGACCTTACATATTTAATACGATGTGTTACCCCTGTACACATGGAAAAAAATATAAAAATAAAAATAAATTAACATTTCTAGACCAATATGGCTGTCCATTTCTGTACAGTGCCAACTCAACACAGTAAATTGGGATGACTTTTTCCAAGGTTGGCAGCACCGTTAAAGTTTCCCAAAATTCAATTTTTATATATATATATATATATTTATATTTATATTTATATAAAAAGAGTACTAATAGTATGTTATACATCGGTAGCAGCAACAGCTTTTCCAGGTTCTGCAGTCATCTGAACAAAATTATAGACATTCAGCATTAATTAGCATCTTTATCATCATCTGGAAAGAGAATATTCTAGAGTAATATCATTAAATGTATCTCTGATAAAGCATGGTCCCTACTATGTATCACAAAGCAGGTACAAGATATTTTACATTCATAGAGGTATGATACAGTACCGTCCTACATCAATAATACTAGAATCAGTTTTAAAAACAACCAGAACAACAACAACAAAAAATAACAAAGAAAAGAATAATATCCAGAAAACAGCAAAGTTCTGTTGCTGTTGTGGTACCTGGGACCTTTTTTTTTTTTTATTAGCATCTTAATCATCTGGAAAGAGAACATTCTAGAGTAATATCATTAAATGTAGCTCTGATAAAGCATGGTCCCTACTATGTATCACAAAGCAGGTACAAGATATTTTACATTCACAGAGGTATGATACAGTACCGTCCTACATCAATAATACTAGAATCTGTTTTGGTTTGAAATTTACTTTGTCTGCAAATAAGATTGCTACCCCTGTTTTTTTCTGGGCTCCTGTCAACATGGAGAATTGTTTTCTGTCTTTTCACTTTCAGTCTATGGGCTTCTTTTTTCACTAGGTGTGTTTCTTGTATACAGCATATTGTTGGATTTTGCTTTTTATTCCATTTTGCCAGTCTGTTTCTCTTGATTGGTGAGTTGAGGCCATTGACATTGCTGGTTATAACTGATATGTACTGACTTATTATTGACATGTTATTGGCCTTTTGTTGACTCTTTTTACTTTTTCACCTTCTTTTAGTTTCTTGCCTTGCCTGTTTGATTTGCTCTGTTGGGCCTCAGTTTTTCTGTATTTTGTTATTGTTATTTTGGCCTGGGTTTTGAAATCACAAATTAGGAACTTTAAGAAGACTATGCTATACAGTGATTAAGTGTAGAAACAGGGACAAGTTGGGAAGCTGTAGGCAAGAGATAATGGTGACTTGGATCAAGTTGGTAATGGTGAAGATGGTTAATTAGTAGTTACGTACTACTGTACATTTCAAATGGTAAGCCAATAGCCTCTCGATGGATTAGGTGTGGATTATAAAGAGAAAGACATCAAGGATGAATCCAAGGATTTTGTCCTCAACTCAGTTTGAATGATGGCCTTTTCATTAATGAGGTGGAAAAGATACAGGATGAATGGCTTTTGGAAGGAGAAGATCCAGAGTTTAGGACAATAAAATGGAAATGACTATTTAATATACAAATGGAAAATTTGAGTGGGAAGTTGGATGTGTATATCTGGAATAGAGGGGAAGAGAATCAGCTAGAAACAAATTTGGGGTAATCGTTGTATAAATAGTATTTAAATGAAGTTGTGGAACGGAGTTAGACTGTAAAAGATAAGTATTGATACAAAAATGATAGGACATTCCTTTGTAGACCAGAAATAAATCAGTAAGAGGAGACCAATAAGGAGGAAAGACTAGTTGAAGTAGGAAGAAAACCCCAGTGTATCTCTTAAAGAATGTTTTTTAAGAAGGAATGACCAACTATTAATATTAAACGTTAATGATTGGTGAAGAAGATGAAGACTGAGGATAACTACTGCATTTTCAAATGTGATGGTCATTGGTGATCCTGACTAGGATGATTTTCAATGTGGGAAGTATAGATAAAGACATTGGATTGGGTTCAAGGGAGGATGAGAAGAAAGAACTTAGGAAAAAATACAGACTTTTTATTTTAAAGACAGTCTTCTCTTTTTTGTGGGGCTGGGAACGGATGTCTAGAAGAAAGCATGGGTTCAGGAGATGATTTAAAATGAAAGAAATGGAGGTATTTTCTATAATTCTCAGGTTATTTACTAAACAAGAAATTATTAAAGAAAGAATAGGTAAAGGGACACTCATAGATTAGTGTCCTTAGTAAAACCAGAAGATGTGATATGTGAGTAGTGAGGTTAAGCTTACATAGGTACATAGACAGCAAACATTTCATTCCTAGCAGCAAAGAATGCAGGATATAGAGCCAAGTGCAGATATGTAAGAAGATCATAGTAATGAAAACAATTAGAAGTTCTATTCTCATTGCTGCTATTTTCCTAGAAAGATAAGGTACAGACTTAGAATAAAGTTGGTGGAAAAGGGGTGGTAAAGGTTCGAGAAGAGAGGAGAAGGCCTGAAATAGTCTTTGTTAGAGTATGTGATTAAACTAGAGAAAAGGAAAAATGATTGATAGCAGCTAGAGGGCAGTGGGGGGGGTGGTTAAGAGAACGTTTTTTTCCCCAAGATGGGAGAAATTACATAACTTTTATTTGCTAACCAGTGAGTCGGTAAAATGAAAAGTTGATGGCATAGGGAGAGAAGCTATGTATTTCCATTTTTTCTTAAGGTTAATGCCATGGTTTAAAGTGAAACATAGCAACTTGCTGATGCTTATTTTTTCACTCTTGTCAAATGTTCATGAAGGGTAATTAGAGTTGTATTTGACAGGATCGGGGTTATGCCAAATGACTATGACAAAGCAAGCATGTATTTGTGAGGGTGATTATAATGTTGGACCATTGAACTAGGAGATTTGGGTAAAGAGAGATGGAAAGGTAGAGATTGGTAAAGGACGGTAAAATGGAGGTAGAAGAAAGATGGAAAATTAGCAGACTCACACTACTAAAGAAAACAAATGAATAATTACCTCTGCAACCTATAGAAACATTTAGCATGTCATTACTGTCACTTGTACCTATAAAATACATTGTTGATTGCTCATTAGGAGAATTAACTTTTTTGATGTATCTTTAGTTGCTGAGAAGGATATTTTTCATTCATTGTGAACTGTTCATCTTAAAACACTTTTTTCCTGCTTTTATATTTATAAAATTGGATAGAAAGAGTCTTTGGAAGTAAAATTTTATTGACTTCAGTAAAGAGAAGACAGTAATATCATTATTAAAATATGAGACTGCAGAGCGGATATTTAAGAGGAATGTACTACTGACCCAAGCACTGTATTTCCATTGCTAAAATCTTAGATTGCATTATTATTGTATAGATTTGATGTTTGCATGGAACTTTAACTATTTTTTTGTATTTGATCAGTAGAAGAGCTGAATTTCTAACTTGCTGGACTGCCCAGCAAACTGGCATACTAAAATAGTTATATTGAGTATTAATGTATCAGAATGTTCTGCTTAATCTTTAAAAGATTTTATAATACTTAACATTTTGGAAGTATATACTTCAAAAGAACAACATTATGAATTTACAGCTTGATAGCTTTTCATTGGACATTCCCATGTAAACCAGCACATAGATCATTAAACAGAATATTACTATTTCACCTGGAAGTCCCTTCATTTATACCCCCTTCATTTTTTGTGGTTTTATTTTTATTTTTATTTTATTTTGAAAAATATTCAAACTTACAAAGAGTTGCAAGAAAAGTACAAAAACTTAAATTTCACCAGGTATTAACATGTTGTCATATTTGGTTTATAAGCTCTGAAAAAATTTTTTTCTAAGCCATTTGAATTTTTTTTGGTACTGGGGATCGAACTCAGGTCCTTGTGCTTGCGAGGCAGGTGCCAGAGCCACTGAGCTAAATCCCCAGCCCTCCATTTGAATATTAATTATGGGCATTATTCCCTTTGAGTACTAAATACTTATCTTAGAATCTTAGAATAGTCATAGGACATGATTGTCAAAGTCAGAAAAATCTAATAATGCATCAGATACTTTTATCTAATAATATTTAAGCCATACATTTTGCCAGTTACCCTAATAATTTCCTTTATGCAGTTTCTTTTCTTTTTGATTTAGGTTTTAATGGGGGGGTGCTGGGAATCGAACTCAGGACCTTGCGCTTGCAAGGCAGGCGACAGAACCACTGAGCCAAACCCCCAGCCTTGATTTAGGTTTTAATCCAGGACCATTCATTAAATTTAACTTATATCATATTTTAAAATATAAACTTCCCAACCTTGTGTTGTATTTTTTGATGTTGAATTTTAAGAGGACAGTCCAGTTTTTGTAGATGGTCAATAACTCTGGATTTGCCTGGTACCTTTTCACTGTTAGGTTTAAATTTTGCTTTTTGAGGTAGGAATACCATATATTTAAGTTACATGTGTCCCCCTTTGTGGTTTAATCTTGGAGATCTATATCTGTTTTTTTTCCATTATTTTATTAGTGATGATTACTTTAATCACTTGTGTCCTTTGGGTTTCTTTCTGCACTGCAAAGTTACTATTTTCCCCCTTGTATTTAATAAGTAATTTTGTGGGGAAAGTGGGTGGCAGTATTCCATTCCTCTTCAATTTCCTGAGCATTTCAGCATCCACTGATGATTTTTACTTTAATCAGTTACTGTAGTTACTGCAAATTAGTGATTATCTAGTGATTATTTCTCAACATTAGTTGGCATTCTACTTTAAAATGAGATTTCCTACATTCTCCACTTATTTCACTTAGATTGATTTATTTACATTTTATGTGTGAAAGTGTGTGTGTGTGCGGCTTTATACATATGGCTTAAGAACAATTACATTCTGTTATATAAACAAAACAATATATGTAAAGCATGTATAATATATGTAGATTTATAGAAAGTGTAATTTATTTTGATGCTAAATTATTCCAAATTTGGTTGGTGAAGCCTCTTCAAACTGTTCCTATGACCTCAGACACATTTCCCCCCTCCTCTTTTTTTTGAGGACTCCTTAACTCTTGCAGTACCAGCATCTTCCAGACTTAATCTTGTGCCTTCCCAGCTTCCCAAGAAGTAGCTCCTCTTAGTGGGAAATAATAATTAAAAATCAAGATCAGGGTAATAGCTGTGCTTTTTGTCCTGGGTGACATTATTTATTTCCAGGCCTTTGCAGCCTTCAAAGCTAGGAAAAAAATTTCAATATGAAATATGAAATTTCAATATGAAATTGTCATATGCATATTCTTTTTTAAAAAATTGAAATCATAATATCTTCCTTTTACATCCAATTCAATACCAGAGCTTTTTACTTTTTTTGTTCCATGTTACATCTCCCTTTTCTCATAGGGAAACCCTACCTCTCATTAACTTTAGTGTAAATATTTGATTAATCTTCAGTCATACACAAAATAGATTTGGGAGTTCTACTCTTAATATTACAAAAAATACCCAAATCCGTAAAATAAAGCTCAAGTTCTGTTTCCCTTTTTTTTTTTTAGATTGATGGTGAATAGTAAAAATAATTGTTTTCAAAATAATTTCTTTCAAAGTGGTAATATTAATTATTTAAAGTATAATTTGTTTCATAGTAACCTTTGGCATTTTTTTTTCTTCCGTAGTTACTGGTATAATTTGTATGTGTGTGTGTGTGTGTTCCGTAAAATAAAGCTCAAGTTCTGTTTCCCTTTTTTTTTTTTAGATTGATGGTGAATAGTAAAAATAATTGTTTTCAAAATAATTTCTTTCAAAGTGGTAATATTAATTATTTAAAGTATAATTTGTTTCATAGTAACCTTTGGCATTTTTTTTTCTTCCGTAGTTACTGGTATAATTTGTATGTGTGTGTGTGTGTGTATATATATGTGTGTGTGTGTGTGTGTGTGTGTGTGTGTGTGTGAGAGAGAGAGAGAGAGAGAGAGTACAGTCAAAGACAGGAGGATGTGAAAGAATATAGAATGATCAGGAAACTGCATTTTAATTTCTGGTTTATTCTTCCCTTGAGTTTTTTTTTACATAAGTAAGTTAATATGTAAATGTGTATTTTTCCATTTACTTTTAAAGAGTATTTTAATGGTTTTTTTAAAGGATTAGCAGGAGCATAAATAGTTGAACTATTAATTGAGTATGCCACTGGGGATAGAATTAACTTTCTTTGGGATTTTACTTTGAAAGAGTTACATGTTGATTTGAAATGGACTTTTAATAGAATATATAGTATAGGTTTTTATGAAACACAGCAGTGTTACTGTTAACTATTTACACTAACAGTATGTATATGTTAAAGAATACAGGGAAAAAAGTACCAGTATTTTGAGTACAATTGTATAAAACTGCAGAAATGAATGCTATTAATTCATAGAGGCACAGAAGTTTCTCTATAATAATGTATTAAAATCTGAATCTAGCCCTTGGTTCTTTTCTCATGCATTTTGACATCATACAATATTTTGACAGAATATTTTCTAAAAACTTTCTAGAATAATTATAATGTTGATAACACATCTACATTTAAATTCCACTTGTAGTTTTAGTACCATAACAAATATTTTGTAACTTGAAAAGAATGGTGTACAAATATGCTAAAGGACTTTAGAAAAAGCATGTCAAGAATTTTAAAAAAGGAAAAAACAGAAAAAGGGGGGTCAGAGACAACAATATATAAGAAAAAACATAGAAAATTTATCTCACCAGAAACAGCACCTCTTCTCAGTCTCAGACAAGTACTGCCTCCAGAAAAGCCAATTCAAGCGTTGGGAAGTGGCAGGATCGATATGGGAGGGCCGAATCACCTGATCTAAGGTAAGGCTATTTTTAAACATTGGATACTCCCTGATGTTTAGATCATCAGTGTTGTTTTGTCTCATTAGTACAGTAACACATTTTTATTAGACTGTACCATATTTTTACCTTCCAAATTATGTTTTTCGGGGTACAGTTGACAGTTTTTTAGTTACCATATTAATGACTTTCCACTTATATGTCTAGGCTTTTATATAATAACTTGCCTTGATCCGTGTAAACTGGTGCTCAGTAAAGTTTTTTTACACCCCCCCCTCCACTGCACATTGTACCACATCTGGTTAAAATATCCCAGATGCTTTTCATAACTTAGTGATAAAATCTACTCAATATTTAGGAGCTATAAAATTTAACTCCACTGAATCTTTCCAACCTTTGTATTTAGGTATAGTGTATGAATCTGAACTTGTTGTTCCACTGAGTCTACAATTTGCCCCGGATTGTAGATTTTTTTTTTCTTTTTTTGCCACTCTGAAGCCTTTACTCTACCACTAAGCTACATTTCCAGCCCTTTTTACTTTGGAGACAGTTACTCCTGAGCTGTCCAGGTTGAATTCAAAATGTTAAATTCCCATGTCTCAGCCTCCTATGTAGTTGGGATAATAGGTATTTGACAGCTCTCCTGGCTTTATGCTTTGACCTGTGATTTACCCGCAATAGAATTTTGTTTATGTTTTAAATTATCCAATTACAAAGCATACAACCTTAGGTATTACCATTTTCTGAGACTGTTATAATGAGGATCATAACTTCATTACTGAGGGTTGTAATAAAAAGCAACTAATTTAGGGTATGAAAATAGCATTGTCAACGGCAGTCAGTTTGAGAGGTTTTAAATCTGGCATATGAAGGATAATTTTGTTTTTTCTCTTGTTATTCAGAATTTTAAGCTTGCTTTCTGTGCAGGTTAACCTTATGTTAATGTGTTTTTAATTATTTTAAGAACTTTTAAATACATGGATTATCAGATGCCTTTAGTCATAATGGTTTATATAAAACAAGGGAAGAAAACTATAAAATTTTACTTTCTTAGATTTGTTTTTCTTTGTGTTTTTTTGAGATGAGGTCTCACTATATAGTATAGGCTGGTCTTGAATTCTCTGTGTGGCCCAGTCTGGCTTTCAGTTTGCATTGTTTCTCTTGGCTCAGTCTCCCAAGTGCTGATAATTACAGTTATACACCCCTACTCCCAGCATGAGATTTCTTTTTCTAACGATTTTTTTTTTTTTTTGGTACCAGGGTCTTGAACTCAAGACCTTGTGCTTGCAAGTCAGGCAGCGGAACCACTGAGCTAAATCCCCAGCCCTAGAATCTTAATTATATATAGTCCCTGTGAGTTCTGAGAATTGCTTCTCACTTTGCTTTGATAGAGTTTCCTATTAGTAAAGAATAAATTTAATCATTCTCAAAACTAGTTTTTCATATCAAAGTAAAAAATTTTTTTAAAAGATACTCAAAGTATGTCTAGTAACTAATTCAAATAAAAATATGTTATCTGTATTTTCAGAACAGAGTTGCAGTGTTGCTTTAGCAGGTTAAAGAATGTAATTTTATATATTTTATTAATACTCATTGACTTTAAAATGTGTATTATATTTTAATTGATTTTTAACACAAATTCTGTTTGAAGAACCAAGATAAATTTCAGGGATTAAATAAAGAAAAATTGCATCCATCGTACAAGCACAGAATGGAATATATGAAGCTTTTCAACACTTGACTTTTCTGTGGAATCCAAAGTTTGAATACTTGTATCAGTGATATAATTTCTATATAGCTAACTTGACCTAGTCTGTAACCACTTGGACTTATATTTAATCTTGCCAGCAATATAGATAGCATATTTATTAAATCTAAAAGGGCTAGACAATAAGAACTAATAATAAGAATCAATAGATTTATATTATACTACTATTGATAATGCTATTTTTGATAATGATTAGTCATCTTTGTATATAATTTTCTTAAACATCCATGATGTAAGCATTGGATTGGATTTTAGATCTAATTTAGTCAGTAAGTACCTGCATGAATTCAGAAGAATTCCCTAAGTCTCTATCTCCCTTACTGCATTTTTAAATTGCTGGGGCTACACTATATATTCTGGAAACTCTTCAATCCTGAAATTATTTCTAGCTAGTCCTGTTTTATAGTGGGAAAGCAGATCTTGGCTTTTCCAGATTCATAGATAGCTAAGAGGCAAATTCAGGAGTAAAATTCCCTTGGTTCAGTTCAGACAAGTTGACTTTCATAGGCAAAGGCATAATTACGGTGGGTAAAGCTTTATCACAAGCTCTTTACAAAAGTGAATAGCTTGACTGCATTAATGAGTCCACTTATGTCCTCTAGTAAGTCAGAGTTGAGCATATTTCACATTTAAGCATTCAGGGCTTTTTCTTTTGTTTTCAGTAGAGCAGTACACCTTAAAAAGTAATTTCACATTTTATAATTCAGGCCCCAGAAAGTATAAAAAATATTTGTGTGGAAGAAAAAATAAACTGACTTGGGAAAGGTACATTGAGTTTGAAATTGAGTGTACAGAGCCTAAATCCTGGTGCTGCCACTTCACAATACAAAACAGCCTCTTTGCACAACTGTTAAAATCATTATGGATTTACACCTTATTTGCAGTATTCTTGTACACATTAAATAACTTCTGAACTGTGAAAAGACCTGTTATATGGATCAAATGATAAAGTCAGGAACCCAGGAGGTGTTAGCTCCATTTGGTTCTCTGTGTTCATCACAGACTTTATCAATTCTAAAGTGCTAAGACAAAAATTATATGTCCTAAAGATAAAGTTTTAAATCCTGTGATTTTTATTTTAGATGTATGTTTTATTTTTCTAGGTAGGATGTTATTAATAAGTGTTAACCTGAGCATTGGAACATGCTAAATTTTCTTTATAAATTATGCATAATCCACAGAGAAAATTATTCTTCTTCTTGTGAAAGTATAATTCACATTAGTATAGAAATAGTATTGTCAGTTTCCAAAAATGAAAGATCATTATAAACATATATCTTGAATCCTGTCAAAACCTCAACTACTGGACTGATGGGCATGAGTTTGTGTTTATTATGTAATAGAGTTAATTTTTACTAGCCTTTTAAATTCTTTCTAGAAGAGAGCCAAATGTATGTAAGTCTCTTCCTTGCATATTTCCTTAAGAGTTATAGTTTTCAGCCTTAGCTGTATATTGAATTACTTGGGAAACTAAAAAAGTGTTGATGCTGAGGTCTGAGAGATACTGTTTTAAATAGACAAGTGTGCACGCTGGGCATAAGCATTATTAAAATCTCAAGACAATTCTGATATATAGGTAGGATTGACAACTGCTAATTTAGAGACTTGATTCTGTCCTGGCATAAAAGTTAAAATCAAATGCTAGCTGATTTTGAAGTAAAAACAGTAGATTCAATTATAATGACAGTTGACATTTGCATAGCATTTACAGCCGCACAAAGTCCTTCGTGTGTTTGTTTTTTCCTTCTACTGCTTCTTTGACAGTCTTTTGGTTGATAATCATTGTGAAAGGTGAACTGTGCTTCTTCTGTTGCAAGCAGAGTGATAGATAACATATTTGCCCAGTAGAAATCTTGCACATAATATTTTTCCTTTCATTTTTTTCTCTTGCTTTTTGCTCTTCTCTACATCTAAAATGTCCCTGCTTCTCATTGTTGTGTCTAAATCTTAAATCCATCCTGTGTCTTTCATGGCTCACTTCTTTTCTTACAGTAGCTTAAAAGAGGTTTCCATGTAGACTGTTTATAGTTATCCATCTAAGTATATGACCTGCATTAGACATGGTGACAACTACATCTTATCTGTTTTGGTTGTATGAAATAGCCATAGTCTCATTTTTCCTACAGACTACTGCTCAGTTCCTATTAGAAGTTCTACTGTGGGAAAACATTCTTGGATTTCTACAAAGCTTTGTCATCCATCCATTCTTCTAGATTAGTGATTGTGAACTTTCTGTGAAGCAGTATAACTCTTTTGAAAATTTGCTGCAAGGTATGGTCTGTTGTATTTAGGTTTAGGGACCTCCTGATCCTTTTTAGAGAACCATGTGTGCTAGTTGGGGAGGGATGAGTAAGGGGATTAAAAAAATAAAAAATCATGTATTATGTATATGCACCCACTCCCCAAGGTGATTGTAAAATGCATGTACTGCAAACATACTAATAAAAAAAGAACATTTAAAAAAAAAGAAGTCCTGTTCTCAAAAATGTATTAAACTCTTAGGTCAAGTCTTAAGATTAAGAAAAGTCGCCGGACCATATTATTTTGCTTCCCTTGGCTTAATTGCTTTTATTGACTTATGAATTGTTATGCTTCACACAGCATTGATAGGTATTTGCAAACCAGTTCTGTGAAATTCACTTGTTTTTATCGAAGTGGTATTGGCAACTGTATGTGAATGCTTTTTCAGTGTGAGGTTGCAATCCATTAGTAAGGGTTATGAAAGTTGATGGTACCAATCATATTCTTGGTTTTATATTGTTTGTTTTGCTTTTTTACCACTATATTTAAACATTAATAGTCATACTGATACTGTTTTCCTCTTTAGTAAGCATTGTTTTATGAAACTTTTAGTTTTTTATGTAATATGTTCTGAATGGCTATGCAAAATGTATTACTGTGTTTTCTGTGAGTAAAGTTGAAAAGCTACTATAGTCTATCATACTTTGTCTTAAAGTACAAGAACTGATTAAAAATATGAAATGTTTAAATAAAATTTATTACTGTAAAAGTCATGTTAGTCCCCCTCAATCCTTTTAACCATATCTGCTCTTCTAACACACTTATCCCATTATCCTTTTCCAACAGTTCTGGCAGTCCTCTTATTTGAATGTCTTTATGAGGTATGATAAAAAGTACATTGGATCCCGAGTTCTATCCCTGGGACCTTAAAACAAACAAACAAACAAACAAAAAAACAAACAAACAAAAAAACCAGTGGAGTCTGCTGCTGAGTGCCACACAAAGGAAAGGGAGATCCATAGAAACATTATGGTGTGTCCTTATCAAACTTCACCAGATCTGGCACTGTACAACTATAAAAGTTACCATGATAGATAAACGTTTTGAATTGATTCAGGTCATTGAGGAACCACAAGAGTGTAATTGGAATGATAAAGACTTCTAGAATTTCTTCAGAAAGTGGCAAGAATGATGGGATAAGTGTGTTAGAAGTGTGTCTTTTATTGTAATATATACTACATTTTCAAAAAACTTAAGGGCCAGGGATTTAGCTCAGTGATTCTACCCCCTGCCTCGCAAGCACAAATTTTGTTGCATACCTGCAAGCAGTCCTTAAACCCTTCCTGAGACATCAGAACCATCAAAATAATGACATTTTAACTTACGCTTTTATAATTTCAGTCTTTTTTTCATGTTTACCTTTGCCCAGAGTGAAGTTAGAAATGCACGTGAATATTCACTGCCTATTTGAACTGTAGATTAACTCAGATATCCAATGTGGTTATTTTCTGTTCCTCAGCTTTTTACTAGATAGTTGATTCCAGTGTAGAAAGACAATGGTGTTTACAGCATTAGCTGTCTACCTTACTGAACAAGTTTGTAATATATGAAATTCTGAATTGCAAATATCCTTAAGTGAAGCTTTAGTAAATATTTTTATGCTATGAAATGAAAAGATGCCTGTCGAGAACTTTCATGGAGGGCTGGGGATATAGCACAATAGTAGGGCATTAGCCTAGCTTGTGTGAGGCCCTGGGATAGACCTTGGGTATGGAGGAGTGATAACACAGGATAAAAACTTTCATGGAATAATACAGCTCAGTATTGTTTTCCACAGTGTGGCATCAGAATACCCTTGGAAATTTAAATTATTCATGTTAAATATTATATGCTTTTGTCTGCTTTGGTATATATACTATGTACATGTCATAAAATATTTTTGAACAAAATGGTAAATTTCATTTGATTAAGATAAATTCGTTTGTATAGTAAAAGTGCCTAAGCAAGGAGGTTTTATGCAAATGTAGAAAATTGCAGTTTTCTGAACTTGCCCCTGGGGGAAAAATACTCTTGTTAAGACTGATTCCTCAGTTGTGTGTTTTTAGAACATAGTATTTTGGGCTAGGGATGTAGCTTGGTGGTAAAGCACTTTCGTAGTGTTCACGAGGCCCTGGATTCTGTCTGTAGCATGACAATAACAAAATCTGTAGCATTTGCCATTTTGGATTTTTAGCAGTCATTTAAAGCTGAGGAAAAATCTACCTACACTTATTTGACCATATTTAAAAAAAAAAAAAAAACTTTAGCAGATAAATATTCCCATGTGTCCCATAGTTTTTGAAAACCATTATAGGTCAGTGGTAAAAGACAGAAGTTACAGTGTCATGTGTAGATTTAATTTTTACAAGCTTTAATAACTTAGGGAGTTTTCAGTCTGAATTGCAAATCAAATTTGGGAGCATTAGGTCTTGATGGGAATAAATACAAAACTGGAGAGGAGACAGATCCTGAGATAGGAGTAGAAGAAAATAGGAAATGAAATAGTACAGCAGAAGCAGAGATTTTGGGCTGGAGATTTAGCTCAGCAGTTTGGTGGCCTGCCTCGCAAGCGCATAGGACCCGAGTTCAGTCTCCGGTAACACACACACACACACACACAATACAGGTCGAAAAAAGAAGTAGAGATTTTTGACAGTGAAGTCTAGGTAGCAGTAAATAATGAGGGAAATCTTGACTTCACGATATCTGGTACGGCATTGAAATCTAAGAGGACTGATGGCATGTGCTTTAATATGAAGTGTTAGATGCAATTTTAATTATTTTAAGTTTTGGGGGTACAATTTAGAGGGCAGCTTGTTTCATCTTAACAGTATTTGGATTTTTTTTTTTTAATGTGTCAGTATTAAGATATTTCCCAGTTATATTTGAAGAAATAGGTTGAGTGAAATCACTATTGGTCTTTGGGATCATAAGGGAACCTAGGAAGTCAGTAAGCCAGCCATAAAAGTAGAAGGACATGAAATTTGTTTATATTAAAGTTACAAAGAAGGGAAGTCAGTTTGGCAAGAGGTTGTGAATATCAACTGTAGTTGAAGACATTTCAAGTGTTTTATACTTCTTATAGTAGGGCTACATTTATGAGTATGAATTAACTTGTCAAGCATTTTAAGGTTCACTTCAAATAAACTTTTCACTGATTTGCAGAGACATTTCTCAAAGTTTCTCAAAGGTGAATTATCTTGCTGGAAGGGAAGCATTTCTCAAAGGAAAGGAATCTTAAGATGTTTTGGGATCAGAACAATTAAGGTTTGAAAGTTAGTTTTGCCATTTCATTTTATTTAGGTCAGTGATAACTCTAGATCTTAACTTCATCATGTCTAGCAGTAAATATTTTTTTAAGTTGGGGATTTTTGTAATTTAAGTGTAGGTTAGGCACACAGCAAATGGTAGTTGTTATTAGTCATTGAAAGTTCCAAACTTTGGAAGGACCTAATGTCATTTGTGGTTTTGGTTTTGGTTTTTGAGACAGGGTCTTGCTATGTAGTTCAAGTTAACCTTGAACTCATTATGTAGCTCAGGCTGGCCTGAAACTCACTGTAATTCTCCTGCCTTAGCCTCCTTAGTGCTGGAATTACAGGAATGTGACACCTCCTGGCTCTAATGTATCTTTAATACTTTTACTTCTAAAAAGTTTTGAAGAATTATTTACAATTGAAAGATGAAGAGATATGTATCTACTTTGCTTCTATTTTTCATTGCCCACACTTAAGTGACTTGTGTATCTTGCTAGGTATATTTTCCTGTTAAGTTTGCAGAATTATTTTGTGGGTACACTATTTTTCCATGTCCTCATATACGCAGTTAAACTGTAAATCAGACTAAACATATGGGAGATTTTTAAAATTTGAATTGTTCTATCTAAAGGCAAGTTACCAGAAACGAAAAACTGGTTCTCTTTTTATGTTTTCTAATGCTTGGAATATATCACTAAGGAAAATACCCTGTGTCTGTTAAAATGAACATTTTTTAAGCCTTTTAGGGGTTCTTGAAATGACTGTATAAGAGAATTATATTTGCTACAATTTTAATGAATGGCCAACAAATTTTATTTTCAGTTTGTGTAGCATTTGGTATCTGATTCTGTTCTGAGAAAATAAATTCAATTGGAGACTGTTTAAAAATAGTAACTTACACAAAAACCCATACTAATACTGCGAATTTACTATTATAGTCATTGGTAGATACATTGGTTCTAGCTTATTAATAGAAGTCTTTAAAATCATATTGCAAAGGAATGAGATCTAATTCAGTGAAATTCTTTGTTTGATTTTAAAATACATTGCAAAGAATTTTAGATTTTATTTCTCATTTAAAATTTTAATTCTTTTTCAAATATCTAATGAGGTGAAAACTAAATTGGTTCAATTTTTATATTATAGGCGATTACCTGGAGCAATTGATGTCATCGGACAAACTATAACTATTAGCAGAGTAGAAGGAAGACGACGGGCAAATGAAAACAGCAACATACAGGTTTAGTATTTTAAAATCAGTTTTTTAACTGAGTTATTATATATACATTTAATGTAATTTACTTAATAAAGTACTGTGCTATACGTTAGGTGTTTCTGGTGTAATGAAGAGATTTAAAAAGTATAACTTAACCAATCACCTCTTTTCTACAAAAGCTTTTTAGAGTTTATGATTTTTGGATGTTTCTTAGGTTTTTCTTTTAACTTGTTATAGTTAAACTTAATGTGTAGTTTCATTGATAAAAAAATTGGGAAAAAAACATCATCTGAATGTCTCCTTGAACTTTCTGAAACTAAGCAAAATTAAAATGCTATTTTGTTTGTTTTTTTCTTGAGGTTATTGGCACATTTTAGGTATACAATACAGTTACATTCATCATTGGGATCTTGTACCTTTACATGACAGGTGTTGGTTCTCATTTTTTCCCCTTGTCCCTTCTCTCCCTTCACCCCCCTCCCTCCCCATTAACAAACATTTTATTTCCATTTTTTCATTTTCTCCTATTTTTTTTTCTTTCCCTTACTACCTTTTCCCTACCATTCCCACTTTCCCTACACCTTTAGCCCTTTTCTTCCCAAGATGCTATTTTGAATATATTTTTGTGTATCCTTTTCCGTGCAAATAGTATTCCCATATTATCTTTAAAATACGATCTCTGGGCTGGGGATTTAGCTCAGAGGTTTGGTGGCCTGCCTTGCAAGCGCAAGGACCCGAGTTCGATCCCCGGTACCAAAAAAAAAAAAAAATGATCTCAAATCTGTTCATGATTTCTTATATTAACTATAATTTATTTAATGTGACATTTCTGGGGGAAGGAGCATTCCTTTGTTTTCAGGATGACAGTGAAAGGAAATGAGTTATGAGTCAATTGCACAATTGTTAGAACTTCAGTAGCAGAGACTGCCAGCTATTCAGCTTAGCCATCCTTTTTTGTCATTTATTAACTTTTTCTGAATACCCTAAAAAATGTTCAAAGTATTTTGATTATTTCCAGTAAATTAATTATATGAAAATTTTTTGTATGTTTTAAAAGATAATTATTTCCAAAATGGAAGATAAAACTCTATTTCTTTCTCCCTACAATTAAAATACCATGATGTCTTAAAACATTTTTGTTCCCTAATTTAAGAATTATGAGTATAAATTACAAAAATTATTGTATTTAAATGTAAGAAGAGTTGAATGAAAATGAGGATCATTTATCTAAGTGATGTGCTTTAGTCAGCAAGAATTCAAGAAATGTAAATTTAAAATACAGCATTGTGTTGGTTGTTTTGCTATTTCTGAAACCTGTTTGCACATGAGAATCCCTCAGGCAACTTGTCTAAAGTACACTAGATACCACCTTGTTTGCTATTGTAATTCAGTAGGTTTAGGGTGCTTCTGATGGTACCCATTGCTTATCTGTTCACACAGACCAGCATTTTTCCAAACTGGTTTTATTTTTGAGGTATGAACTTTGTTTTGTTGTTGTCATTTTTGTTTTGTGTTTTGAGATGGGGTCTCTATATGTGGTTCAGGCTCTCCTTGACTTCACTGTGTAGTCCAGGCTGACCTAAAACTCACTGCAATCCTGCTGCCTCAGCCTCTGGAGTGCTGGGATTACTGGTGTGTGCCACCGTACCCCTAAACCTTTGTTCTTAAAGTTACATGGCTCAGAGGAAGAAGTTATTTACACGTCTTATTTCCTATTAACTTCTGGCCTGTAGATAAATGCTTTCCAGTCTCTCTGCACCTGGCGATGGCAGGCATTCCTGTAGTTGAGTGTCTGACATGTGGCCATGTTAATTTCTTAGGGCTGGTATCTGTGATTAATGATTATTTTGCTTTAACTTGAATATTTAACTGTTGTGTGTTAACAAGTATTACAGTTGCTACATTATATTTATAAAGTACTTGTTTGGAATTTTTTTTATCACTTACAATTAAAAGTTTTCTTGGCGTCAGGTTTTAAACTAGACTTTAAATATGAACATTTTTAAAAGCATGTAGTTGAGATTGTATGATGTTTGTGTGTATATATAAGCTCATAGCACAAATATGTATGTATGCAAACTACACTGCCTTTTAGTTCCTTACATTGAGTGAACTTATAAGATTAACCTTAGAAAACACATCTCTGATGGCTTGTTCTCTAATTTTAGGTCCTTTCTGAACGATCTGCAACTGAAGTAGACAACAATTTTAGCAAACCACCTCCATTTTTCCCTCCAGGAGCTCCTCCCACCCACCTGCCACCACCTCCATTTCTCCCACCTCCTCCAACTGTTAGTACTGCTCCACCTCTGATTCCACCACCAGGTAAATAGTAAGAAAGGCATTTGAATTAGAAAGAGAACATGTGTGTTTCTTATTTTTAGTTCAACAGTGAAAATACATGTTTAAAATTATCTTGGTTTATTGTATTAAAAGTAATAGACATTTTATCTCCAACACATTTACACTGGAACAGATATATAATATGTCTATATATATCTATATATCTATATATATAGATATATATAGATATATATAGATACATATATCTTTCTATTTCAGCATAACAAAGGTAATTCTAAAATAGAGAACAATATAGATAGAAGAGTTGTCCTGTAAATATAATCGTGATCCCTGAACTAAAGTTGATACTAATAGTTTATATATAAATCCCTTCTGAAATGTAAACAATGTTATCTTTTTTTGAAAAAAAAAAATTTAAGATACTTTTAGCAATGGATTAGGTCTAGAAAAGAATATGCTACAAAGAGATAGAAATTAGAATTTCAGTTTGGTTTCCTTTTAAGTGATTGTTGCTGAGTGCTAGGTTCCTGGCATTTGCTTAATTTTAAACAAGACAGGATGTGTAGTAAAATTTTAAAAAATATCTTCAGCTACTTTTTTTTAAAGAGTAGAAAAAATTTATTGAGAGAAAGAAAGCTGCCTTAAGAGAGACAGAAGTGGGACTGGACAGTGGGCTGCCCCCAATTTATACTTTTAATCTTTTTTTTTTTTTTTTTTGAGACAGGGTCTCACTATGTAGTTGATACTGACCTGGAACTCACTATGTAGCCCAGGCTGGTCTCGAACTCAGCGATTCTCCTGCCTCAGCCTCCCGAGTGCTGGGATTACAGGCGTGCACCACAATGCCTGGCTATACTTTTAAACTTTTATCTAGTGGACTTTCTTACTTTTTTCTCAGTGAGTCTTTAATATTTACAGCATTCCCCCACTTTTTTTTTCCCCCCTGTAGTAGTGATTGAATTTAGGACCTTGCACTTGCGAGGCAGGCACAGCGCCACTGAGCTAATCCCTGTTCCCTTAACTAACTTTTTATGAACCTAACAAGGTTGAGATTATCTTCTTCTGGAGAATGCCAGCAGTAAATAATAAAAATTAGCTGTTTTTTTTTCTTATGAGAATTTCAGAGACATATATTAGGATTTGCTTTCAATAAGTAAAAATCAATTCATACTAGAGAGCCATGTTCTGTCACTTTCTTTACTTTTGCAAGAAAACTGTTCTTGCTTTAAGAAACCATTGTGTTCAAATAAATGTCTCTAAATATCTGCTACTACCTTTGCCTTTTGTCCTAATCACATTTGGTCTCCCATTGTCATTTCAACTCTCGAAAAAGATGAGAAAAATGTTACAAAAAGTGATTTCCAGCTTTAGACAATCTGTTGTATCAAAATAGAGGAAAAGATTAGAATGGGTTAGATGTGCTTATGCCAGACGTGATTTCTTAAGTTCAGTGATATTCTTATTCCAACAGTTAAATTGAACACAAACCATGTGTTGGGATTGGTCTGTGATTTTTTAATCTTTGCTGAGAATTAACCAATAAAAAGAGATTATGTGATTCGTATTGAAGTTTTAATGTAATTCTTAAATGAAACCATTGTCCTCTAGAAAAAAAACAAATTAGATAAAATGTAGAATAATTAAGTTTTGAACCTTTTGTAATAGTAAAAATGATTAATGTTTGTGATAATAAATGCTTATGCTCAAATTCTTTAAAATCCTATTTAAACTTTACTAGGTACTAATGGCAATTTGAAAATTTTTGTTTTATAAATCTTACTGATTGATTATTGCTGTACTGGGATTGAACCCAGGATCTTTGATCTAAGCTACATCCCTGGCCCTGTTTATTTTCTCAATTTTTATTTTGAAACATGGTCTTGCTAAGTCGCTAAGTTGCCCAGGGTAGGCTTGAACTTGCAGTCTTCCTCCCATATTGCTGGGATTATAGGCACACGCCACCATACTCAGCTTCTTTTTTGAAATTTTAAAAATCTTTTAATTGATAAATAATTTTACATGTTTATGGATACTATATGATGTTTTGATATATCTTTACCTTGTCTAATAGATTTTTAAACTAATTATCATGTCTGTCACTATAGCATTTAAAATCTAATCTTTTAACAATTTTAAAACACAGTCATTAACTATAGTCACCATGCTTTGAAATAGATGTCTAGAACATGATTTTTTCTGAAACTTTGTACCCCTTGGACATCTTCCATTTTCTACTCTTGCCCAGCCTCATAACTTGCATGCTGCTGTCTACTATGAGTTTGTTTTTAGATTTCACATAAAAGTGAGATCATGCAGTATTTTTTTTCCTGTGCTTGGCTTCTTTCACTTAGCATAATGTATTTCAGATTCATGAGTATTGTCAAAAATGACAGAATGAAAAAACTTTCATGTATTCTAGCTAAATATCTTCCACCAACATTTTTATATGTTCAGAACTAGCCATCTCTTAAAGGAAAAAAGTGGTGTGAATTTATGAAAAAATAAATAATTGGTATAGGAATAGTCAGAAAGTATGTAGGATATTGCTGATATGCAATAGCATCATCTGGAAGTTTACTTTTTATAAAATTGTTAAAGTTACTTCATTTCTTTGCCATGCAACCTGTTTATAAGAATAATAAATCTTCAGATAATATTTGGTTTCTGGATGGCATTATACTGTAGAGTATCATTGAATTTTTTTTTTTTTTTTTTTTGCTTGGTCAGTCTACCTAATATTAATTTGCAGGTCCATGCTTCACATCCAGATTGCCTTTGATACTTGTTCTTGGATTATATTGTTTCTCTGCTGTCCTGTCAGAATTTAAGGAATGCAGATTAAAGTGAAATTTAATCTTGATTTAAATAGTAACTTACCACGACATATTTGCTGGGGGTAGGGGGTATATCAATTCATACTACAACCAAGTATTTGTTAGGTGAGACTATGCAAGTCACCTATTTATTTTAGAATGGGAGCTGTTAGAGAGATTATAGGGTATGTATAGGTATAGCATAAGCATTTCATGTGTGTTTTCCTGCAGTTGTTAGTCCTAGTGTCTTGTGTACACTTGGCACCCCCTAAGTATGTTAGCTAATTGAATAAACATGTATGCTTCTGTAAACCAAACCTAAGTTTTCACATTGACAGTTGGTACAATCAGTCATGATTTACACTGGCTGTAATCAGTAATGTGTGGCTGAATATCGATGCTGATGCTCAAAGCTGTATTTTTCTGTTGCCGATTGCCTCAGAACCACTGATTCTGCCACGTTCTGTAGTCTTTAGTGTTTGTTTGTTTATTTGGAATGGAGGAGTGAACTCAGGACCTTGCACTTGTCAGGCAGCAGTGGCACCACTGAGCTAAATCCTTGGCCCCTGGTAGTCTTTGTAATTTAAATTACCTTAAGGATCACAAGCAGCAGTCAAAGCTGTGACCAGGGAGTCTCTTTTTGCATATTTGCCTTAAAAAGTACTCCAGTTTTCTTAGGGTCTTAAAGAAATATTGAGGGATTTTTGTTGTTGTTTTGGTTTTTGCTTTCTTTATCAGTATTGAAAAGAGAAGAAAAAATCTTTCGAGAATTGGTTTAAACGTATTTAATATATTTGTTAGTGTTAGATTTGGATGAAGCTGTGACCAGGGAGTCTCTTTTTGCATATTTGCCTTAAAAAGTACTCCAGTTTTCTTAGGGTCTTAAAGAAATATTGAGGGATTTTTGTTGTTGTTTTGGTTTTTGCTTTCTTTATCAGTATTGAAAAGAGAAGAAAAAATCTTTCGAGAATTGGTTTAAACGTATTTAATATATTTGTTAGTGTTAGATTTGGATGCTACCCCTTTTATCCAGATTTCCCTGGAAGAGAACAACCTTACACTTCATCCCAGCATACTTATCATTATTCATTTTTAGATGTGCCCCCATTTATGGTCAACTGTGCATGCTTGGAGGTTTGCAGACATGGCTCATCACTTAAGAAAATAGTTCTTAATAATTATGAAGTGATAGAGACAGCTGTCACCAAGACTTTTACTGTTAGTTGTCAGAGAGGAAAGATAAACTGCCTCATCTCCCTCCAAACCCACAACTACAAACAGCTATGGAACTTTCTCAGTAACACACAGAGGACAAAGTATTTCTGGCCATAAGAGATTTGTATGAAGAAAGAGAAAGTTTTGTATTAGAGTACAACAAAGGTTCAAGAGACATCTGGAAGTGCAGAAGTATTTAATGTTCCTTGTAGCCATACCATTAAGACCTTGAAAACAAATAATGGTTAATCTTGATCTGCTATATTTAAAAAAAAAATGGGTTATTTTCATTTTCTCGTGAACCAGAAAAAAAAAACAAACTTGTATCTTTTTTTTAAGAAATGTATTAGTGTCTTTTTCTGATTAATAATAGCTAATATTTAATAATGAATGCTCACTTTTGAACACATTGTTCTAAAAACATCTCTGGTATTTACTCATTTGATTATAGAACAACATCTGAAGTAGATATTCTAATTTTAATTGAGCAAACTAGGGCTTATAAAGAATTTAATCAATAGCTAGAAAATAGCAGACCCAGGATTCTAACCCAGGCAATTATGCTAGAAAGCCTATTTTTATTAACTCCTGAAATGTGTCTTACTCCCCTCATTCATGGGACAAAATACTAACACCACAATTCGAGGAAAGAGAAGTTTTGTTTGGCTCATGTTTTAGTTCATAGTTCTCTGGCTCCCAGGCAAGACAGCATGGCAGATGAAAGCTGCTCACTGCATGGTGGATGGGAAGCAGACAGGGTGAAGGGAAGGGAGATAGACCCTTCCAGTTCACTCCCCCAGTGACTTGCTCTTCTGAACCTCACCTCCTAATAGCAATTCAGCCATAACACACTATAATACAGTAGTCACCTGAAAGCCCCATTTAGGAGTCTATGAGGCTCTTGGGAGACATCTAGATATAAACTCTAACAAAATGGATCAGTGTATGTCAAGATAAAGATTAGCATTGGATTATGTGTATTCACCACAATAA